TATATATATATATAATGTATGTGTGTGTATTATCCCTTCTAGACAATTCTCGTATTACATCATAAATATATGTCAATGATATAGCCCATTAGAACATTGCTTGCTTTTCCAATACTGTACATTTTGTGAAAAACTCGCCACATTATATATCAATTTTCATGTCAAGTTCTTATATTCACTTATATTTTCCCATTTTTGCGATTCAGTTTTAGAAACCCATATATATCATATATACATGACATTTCTTATAGCATTCTGAAAATGAATCCCCTTCTCTGTGGTTTAATACTCGTTCTGCGTATGTAGAATTCTCTGCTCAAATGTGCCATCATTATGTAATGCCGACATCATTTGTTTGGCTTATTTTTCAGATCCTAAATCGGAGAGAAAATCCATATCGTTGACATTTCAGGACACACGTTATTACTTTTACGGCTTCATTAGTCCCCTTAACAAATAATTAAATGCCATCATTCGATAAATCTGATACTATATGCAAAACATGTTACGAGGGATTGTAACATTCATTACAGTTTAGTTAAAAATGACCTAACAGCGGGAAATATCGCGTTACAAGATCATATTTAAGCAAACTTTCACTGAGTACAGTGATGCTACATTGTCGGGAGTGTCAAGCCACTTTGACGTCTTCGCGTGAAGATGACTTACTGACGGATAAATTCACCGCGAATCATTTAATTACACTTATTTATTGCAAATATTGCATTGCATTATTTCATAAGTATAATAAGTAGCACTCACACTGTTGGGAAATTGCTTTTCTGTTGAACTCGTTTCTCAACGATACAAATTTATTCGGGATGTAATATTGTTCTTGCACAATACTACTAGTTAACAAAAAAAGAAAAAGAAGTATAAAATATATGTATGTATATTACACGATGAATTGGTAAGCAGTAATAAATCGAGTTATACAAAAAGCAAGTCATATGATCAACTAACAAACTCCTTATCGTTATCTTGGACAATAATTTGACTATGATAGGTCGTTGAGTTAAGAATATGTTACGGGAAATGTACTGAGTGAAAAGAAGGATATTGTAGTTTGTTGACCAATGGTGCGGATATGCGAAGGGTTCAGTTGTGGAGAATAAGCGAAGGGGAACCATCGTCTCCTCGGTCGTAAAAAACTGTTTAGGGTATATATGTATAAGGATTAGGGAGGAGTTTTGTAAGCTTCATCGAGCTACCATAGAGGGGGTATGGGTAGCCTTTGGCATTGTCCATTGTGTAGGTACAATGATATGATTATCCATGGTGTAGATACTGAGACATCTTTGTTTTACACTGTTCACTGTCCATTGTTAGCTTATATCCTCTTCATTACTTTAATTTTACTTACAAGATTTCATCAACTCATCTGTTGGATATTGTGGAAATTTTGTCTGAATATAGCTTTAATTTCGGTAATCCGACAGGAAACTTGCATTATGATTTTCGGAGTTTTTCCGACACACACAGCACGTGTGTGAATATAATTGTTTTTATTTAAACCAAAATTCAACTGTGTGGAGCATCCATTCCTGTCAATAATTGAATCAAAATAATTATGCGGAATTAATCATATTCATACTTATCCCAGCAATGCGCTTTGTGTGTGCTCTGATGATACCGGTGAGATTTGAGTCCGTCGAATGGCTATTGGAAATCGCTTTTTCTCGCGACATTCAATATGTCATCCTGCCGATGGAGGTCAATAGAGCAACGGGGAAAGATTTTAAATGTAGATTGCACAGAATTTCTCAAATCAAGAATTCATTTTTGGCCACGATTTGATGAGGCGCAAAGAGAAGTTGGTTCGTACAATTCAATCAAAGTCGTCTGGATTGATGATTTGTGATGGGAGAATATAAGTATATTATGCCAATGTGTTGTCATGTTCTTGCAATTGGAAGATTAGATACGATCTATATAGTGCACTGGGATGGGTAAACCGCTTTTATTGACAGCAAAATAGGCAAAATAGGCTCAGTTTGAAATATATTTCAAGAAAAAATTGAGACAAGAGACAATTTTCTTCATACAGTGCAGAGTAGATCAATACTTTCAAAATACTTCATTTCGGACAATAAAAGCGACCAATTAAAAAGAGAAAAAATTTTTGTTCAGTGACCAGTCATTGCTTCCCATTTTTGTATTTATTTGTAAATAATTTCGTTCACAATAACATATTTTAGTTGTGAGATTATGTTTAATTGTTGAACCTTACAACATTCATGTTTTTGCTTGATTTATAAAGTTATCATATTATTCATTAGGCGAAGTTGATGAAAAGTTTCAATTTTAAAGAGAGGATGAATATGATAGATCATGTGATGGATGTTACCATTCATTATCGAAATATAGCCGTCCATAAGGATTGCGATTCAACCGAAAAATTCGGATTTATTACTTATTGCTAACGTCTACTATGGATTTTTCGAAGCAAACATTGAGAATGGTATGAAATTCTTTCAAAAAAAAACATTAGCAAATAATAATGGTCCATTGTTAAGACGAATATCTCAATGCTTCCAGTTATTTCACTTAACGACAAAGTTTTCCGGATTATTTGATAACAATAAATTTCAAGTCCCGGCAACAAACATTAATAATTAAACATTTACAACGCTTCCGATAAGCAATACATGAATGATGTTAGTCGAAAATTTCCGAACTTCATTCTTTTCCGGAAAACTTTTGGATTTTACTAATTTCAAATTATTCACTTGTTCTTTTCTTCCTTTTCAAGTCAGTAAAAGTTTAAACGTGTTTTTTTTTTTGTTGCAAATTATTCAGGTTTTCTTTTTTAGTACTGCAAATAATAATTGAACTTCCATTGAAAGAAGAACAAATTTGAAATTACTATAGAATTTAGGGATGATAAAACAAATTCTGAAGCCTGGAACTAAAATATCAGATGGTTTATCTTGGCCAGTTATTCATTTTAATACGAATTTGTTAGCATAAGATGTCGTACCCACTCTGTGTAAAAACTAGAATACATGAAAGAATTTTGAACAATAATGATATTAAAGCATGCTTACATTTTTGAATTTATCAATTTCAATTACGGCGATGAAACCGGTTTGAAGTCCAACATATATAGTCTTGCTTTTTTCATGTGTTGCAATCGATTCCGGTCCATTAATTTTATTCAGCAACAATATTTCGGCATGTGTTAGTTCCTGATTTGGTTTTAAAGAACTTGTAAGTTTCGGCGGTTTTGGAAGTCTAAAATTAAAAGTAGTTGAACAGTTAATTACTTCAATAAGTTAGGTAAAAAAAACCGCTCTAAGGTAGTATCCCTTCATCTTCAAGTTTAAATTACAGTAGGAAGAAGCAAAATCTTATGCTCATTACCAATTAATGATTGCTATTTATTATTATCAATGCAAATAATTCGCATTGTTTCATGCATTAATATTCTATTTTATTTAAATTTTTTTTTTGCAAAGTTTACTCAATTAGTATGAGTAGATTTGGTGTACAAATTATTAAAATGTCGAAATTTTTCTCAGTCCGAAATTTAAAATAATGAAAATTATTTCTATTTCGTACATTTATATGCTATGCAAAGAATTTAATTTGATATAATAATCCTTTGAAATGAGTTTTGATCGCAGCAATCTTTTTTTCTTGGCATG